TCGACGGCTGCTCCAATTATCCGTCAGAAACGGATCTCGATAACGTTCCCTCTCTCTCTTTCTCCCCCCTCTCTTTCTCTCTCTCTCTCTCTCGAGCGCGCAGCTAGAAACGTCGGCAAAATTTCACGCGACCGATTTCACGACGTGATCGCGATATCGGCCCGCATCGACCGTCGCGGCGCGAAAGCTGCAATTTGAGGCACTTTCGACCACGACAATTTCGTGGCGCTTTACACGAATCGACGGAAATCGCCGATAGTTCTTCGAGCCTGCGCGAGCAGATGCGTGCGTGCCTGCAAACGTAACTTGAGATCGCGTTGTGGGCGTTCGCCGATAAGATAAAAAGTAGGACGACATTTATTAGGAGGCCTTACGAAAGTTGATCGAACTTTTAACGTAGCCCCTTTTTCAATGATAGTCGGATCGATTTATGAGAGACGAACGCTTGATCAGAAGCGACGCACCTCGATCAGTGCAATATCATACTTGATTTTGTATGTAAGCAGCTATCTTTTATTCATAGATGTACGTCGAACGTGTAACAGTCATATTACGCAAGACAATGGAAAATTATGCGTATTATTCAGGAAGAGCAGACAATATAGCACGAGCGATCGATATAAGCAACGTTTAATGATCAAATAAACGATATAACGATTTATAAATAACTTCTTATTTTTCAACAATGCAATTTGCTCATGTTTCAAACACGAATTGCAAAGATATGAAAGGATAATCAATTGCTGCAGAATGCTGATCTGTTTTTCGACTATTAAATTCTACAGTAATTTTTACTATACAATTCTTTCCCTGCGTATAATATTTCGTTGTTATTCTTTAATACACCAAATAAATTATTTTTGTATTTGGAACTGAAACAATACGATTCATACATACGATTAGGTTGATAGGTATTACTTTTACTTGTGTCAAGTACGTGTATTATTGAAGAAGCGAAACACACATAGCGGCAATTAACTGTTTTAGTTGCAGTTGCCAAACATCTGGTCGATCCCACTTTAACCAAATTTTAGTCCGGGATACCCAATTTTCGTTTCAACAACAAAATCCTTGTTTCAGTACAAGAACGCGACTTTCAAATAACAACTGAAAATCTTTGTATAATTTCTATGTATAATGTACAAGAGCAACAGAGAGACAATATTCTCATTGCACTGAAAAAAGGATTACAAAGCCAAAATTTGGTTAAAATAGGATCAACCAAATATTTCTTAATTACAAACAAAAAATTTAATTGCCGCTATTTTGCCTTACTTAATGACTAACAAGTAAACCTACCCAAAAGTTACACTCCGATTTTTTTTCCAATTTGGCACAAATGTAGAAGTACAAAAAATATTTAGGTTATATTTTTTCATTTTGGTCCACTTTGAGTTTCACGGCCAGTTTTTTAATGTTCTTACTCCTATCATCAACAAGTACAATACAAATGCATAAGAAATAAAATTGAATACAAAATACAGTTAAATAATTTTAACAAAATCAACATAGCTGAGACACGAACCATTCTAAATTTCTTTAGACGAGATTCCAACCGAAATATTTTAAATCTATGCTAAATTAATCAAAAATGATTCGAATCTCGGCCAAACCGAGAAATTATTTGTATAAATAATTTTTTTCAACTTTTTACATGTTTTGTTTACACATTTTATTATTTATACAAATAATTTTACACGTTTGACTTCATATTCATAATCAGCAAACCAAAAACGCCTATATCTTGTATTCAATTTTATTTCTTATGCATTTTCTATTGCATTTGTTAATGATAGGAGTGAGAACATTAAAAAGCTAACTGCCCGTGAAACTCAAAGTCGGCTAAAATGAAAAAATATGACCTAAATATTTTTTGTATTTCTACACATTTCTTCACATTTCTACACATTTCTTCACATTTGTGCCAAATTAGAAAGAAATCGGAGTGTAACTTTTGAGTAGGTTTACTTGTAAAAAATATACTACTGAGAAAATAAAGCAAACCAGCGGCAATTACATTTTTTTATTGCAATTATCAAATATTTGGTTAATCTCATTTTAACCAAAATTTTGTTTCGACAACCAAATCCTTTCTTTCAAATCAGTCCATCCGTTTTGTTAACGCGGAATTTGTCAGTTCGATTTCAGGCTGGTTCATTGAAGTTGACGTGTCATTTAAGCGCAAGACACACATGAAGCATAGTCGATCGATCGATCGATCGCGTCGCGTCATGAATTTTTTCATTGTCGCCGATAAAATTTTTTCGCGGAGTCCCCCTTGCGAAAGCAATCGACATCATCGACGACAACGACGAGGAGGAGAAAGAGTAGGAGGAGGACAGTTGACAGAGGGCCGACACTGAATATAGAAGACCCATGAAATAACGCTCGGGCGCTCAATCTTCATTACATATCGGCCGATATTAATTCAAGCTGAATTAATGAGAGCACCAAAGCGGTCATGTGTCATCGGATTCCGAAGCTGAAGGCTGCCATTGTCATCGTTGGCCACGCCGCGGCTCGATATCGATCGTTGCAACGAATGATGCGAAATTTTGCGACATCACGTCGCTTTATCGGAATCAATCGGAGCTCAAGTGAAAACCGCATCACGATGAACCTATCGCGTACACAGAGAAAAAGAAGAAACGCCTAACGACTGCGGAGCGGTGCGATAACAGACGGATTTTACAGCTCGCGCACATTATCCCGACGTTAGTGCGGTAGTAGTAGTTACTATTTAATTCCGTCGTTCCCCGTCAAGAGCACGTGAACGATCGAATCTGAACGCGACGTGAGCCCCAGCCGATAAAATCAGAATCGCAAGGTTAAGCCGTTTATACACATCAGCCCGATTGCATCGCGTTAGGTACGCGAGCGAATTCTTCCGTCGATTAACCTGCCCGAGAGGTTTTCTGCACGGAAATAGCTCCCGGCGCGATGACGCTCGCAGAGAGACCGAGGGTGTGAAAACGCTCGATCTCGTTCACGATTGCCGATCACGCCGAATCGCGCCGTTAGCCGCAACTTCGAGACTGCATTAATAACCGACGGCACGATTAGGCGTGGGAAAAATTATCAAGTAAAAGATTTTCGTCGTCGTCCTCGTTCGATAAAGCCACCTTATCATCCTATGGCGCACGCATTTCCATTGAAATTCGATTTTATCGAGTAAAGCGGAAATCTCCCCGTTTCTTGTGCATCGGGTAAGATAAGATAAGGCCGAATCACCAGATTTCCTGCATCTCCCGTTGATAGGATCGCGTCGAATTTCGGCCAAGTTCGCTTATGAATTGCCTCTCGAATGGTTCGATGCTGCTTCAGCTGTTTTATCGTTGTTTGCAAACGATTACGTTCCGCGTGTTCCTGCCGTAGGTTTTTACAGCCTCCTTGAACCCGAACCGGCTGATATTGCGTTCGATACTCGCGGATCGCGTAATGTCTCTTTAAACGGTAGTTAGGTATTTTATAAGTTGACCAGATGTGCCATTATTCCCGAGAGACTTTCGGTTTTTCACCCTTTGTCTCGAATTTTCCCGAACACTGTCCAAGACGTCGATTTATCCCAGATTCAGTTAAATTGTTCCGGTTTATTTCGGTTCACTGTAAGGTGTGTTATCAGGTGTGTTAAAACAACACACAACTCACTAATTTGGTGTGTTATGTGTTTAAACAACACAGCTGCGGTTATAGATGTGTTGAAACGACAGACGAAACGATGCACTGATCTACACACGAGTTCTGTGTTACAGTGAATAACACACTTCATGTGTGTTAAAACCGCAACACGGTAAATTGAACGCATATAATGTATGTAAAAATAATGCAGGAATCGCAGAATAATACATTTAGAAAAAACATTACTAGAGTTACACATTTACAGGAATTACACATGAAACCTCGCAGTAATCAAAACGAATGAATAAGACAATATGTGGATAATATTAATGATGTGATGAATGCAGGTGTGTAAAAATATGCAACACACAAGAAAGTGTATAGATTTGCAAGAAACGTGTAGGTATAACACACGAAAAATGTGTTCTATAGACACGTATGATTCGTGTTGTGCTAGCTAAATGCATATACGACTTATGTATGTATTGTATTAGGACGTATTAAAGGTAATGTCAGTTGTCACTGACAAATATTTTTACATTTAGTCTGCAAAAAGCATTGGCTATCATACAGGTGATAAAATAGTAGAATTTATTATTTATTGTTATATTATTATCACTATATTATTTTATTATTATTATATTATTTATTATTTATCATATTTTTATTATCTAAGCAGTTTATGTAACGTTTACGACGTTATATGAGAAAGTGTCCCAGCATTAGCTAGCAGCAAACTGCGCTTTGGGTATTTTTCTCTCTCCGGATCGAAAAGAAGACGCAGGTCCAACCGCCACGGCGTTTCCCATCACTACCTTTAATACGTCCTGATACAATACATACATAAGTCGTACACATATATGCATTCAGCTAGCACAACACGAATCATACGTGTCTATAGAACACATTTTTCGTGTGTTATACCTACATGTTTCTTGCAAATCTATACACTTTCTTGTGTGTTGCATATTTTTACACACCTGCAAGCGTGTCAAAAACAATTACACGGATTACACACGTAAAATGTGTTAATGTAACATACTTGTTTTTACAGTGTTCAGAGGATTTTTTGAATGTTTCTTCTTCTCTCTCTCTGACAGACCTTTTCAAGAAAACTCATAGCTTTGATAAATACGGCAATTTTTTCCTTCTTCATTTTAACTATGTATAACAACATTTTTATAAGTAATAGTTTCTACTTTTATTGTATATAGCAGACCTTAATTGTTGTTGAATTATTCTTCACGCGCACACACACATATCTATAAATGAAATGTCTCATATATACATATGTACTGTTACATATATACATATAATATATATAAACGGCATATATATATATACATATAATATATATAAACGGCAATGCATTGACGAGTTATCGCATAGCTCGTGTGGCGAGCTATCATTATCGTTTTTCGTCGTTATTACATCGCCGAGCGAGTCCAAGGTCCTAATTTCGACACAGTCAACGGGACCGTGGTTGCACGATAGCGTGCACGGTAAAAAAAAAACATTTTACATTTACGTTGAAACCGATCCGTGTGAAAACTGTTGCATTAAATTTTTGACATAATTCTTGTGTTAATTTTACATATTGCCGTCGTGTTTTATTTTTTGACTATTCCGCGTTCAGTTTATATTCACAATTTCCAAGTGTTTAAAATAACACAATGGTGTTCGAGTGTTACGCTTCGCTTGTAAATTTCCGATATATTGTTTGTGTTATTTGTTTTCCTTGTTTTTTAAATTAATACAAAAATTGAAGCGGATAAATTGGGACACGTGAAATTGAGACACGTGTTGAATTTGACACAAAACTTTTTATAGTGTGCGACCATTTTCCCAATCGCTCAAGCGTGCGACGCACGGAACAGCATAAGCAACATCTGATCAACGTGACTGGGCATTATATTGTACATGTTCGTGAACAACGAATAATAACAAATGTGTTTTACTGCGACAAAAGTTACAAGGTGCAAATTTTTATATAATTTTGAGCATTTCAATTTAAGCGGGTAAACTCCTTATTAAGCACAAAGATTGTCAAGGAAACAGTGTGCGCGCGCGCGTGTGTGTATGTGTATGTGTGTGTGTGTGCATGTGAGAAACATGCAACATTTAAAGAGGCATTACTTGACTTGCGAGTATTGAATGCGACATCGACCGGTTTGAACTCAAGGAGGCTGTGAAAACCTGTGGCGGGAACACGCGGAACACGATTGTTTATAAACAATATAAAACAGCTAAAGCAGCATCGATAACAGTTTATCAGAGGCAATTCGTGAACAAATCGAAATTCTACACGATTCTGTCAACAGGAGAAAACAGGAGGTAATTTGACCTTATCTAATCTTATCTCAGAATATGTAGAGAATAGAAAGATTGCTGCTTTATTCAATGGAGTCAAAGTTGTGGTAATGCGCGTGTCACAGAGAGGCGAGTGATAAGGTGGAAGTGTAACGAGCTTGCTGGCCCACCGATGGACAGTGATATTCGAACGGTCCGTCTGTGCGCAGCTTTGCGGCAATGTTAGCGCGAGTGAGCAGATTTAACACGAGTGTGTGAATGGGAGATAAGTGGAAAAAAGACGCGAAAGATGTGCGTGGAAGACTATCTTGGAAAGACGTCGTTTTACCTAGTGATTTATATATTTCATTTTTCTCCGCACGTTGTGCTGAAAAATAAATTATACACACAGAAAAATACGTAGTGCATTCGAGCGAATGTTACTTGCTTCAAATATCTCATGAGTTTACAAATCCGCAAACTATGAGTTCATCATATATGTAAGCATAAAATTTATTTAACATATACGTTCTGAATTCTAATAAGTTTAATGTTTCAATCGAGGATATTAAATTAAATTAAACGAAATCAATTAAAATTTATTAAGTTAAATTAAATAAAAATCTTTGGTTTGTGTGTGTGTGTGTGTGTGTGTGTGTGTGTGTGTGTGTGTGTGTGTGTGTGTGTGTGTGTGTGTGTGTGTGTGTGTGTGTGTGTGTGTGTGTGTGTATGTGTGTTGGAGTCATACCAATTTTCTTTACCACAAAGTTTTGCAATATTTTTGTAGGGAGAAGAAATTCTTCTGAGTTCTTTCTGATACAATAACGAGCTATTCTTGAATTTAAACTATGCTTGAATATGAACATGAATATGCTTGAAGGTTATTATCAAGATAATATTCTTTGCTAAGAATAACTATTACTTAAGAGAAAAAGAGAGAGACAGTAAATTGAATAATCGCTTTTTTTGTTGCGTTCATGATATTTTTCTGTGTGTAACTACAATTGTGACATAGTGACAGGATATTAGTCATAGAACCTATTTTTATCGAGAGTCTTATCTCTTAAAAGTATTTCCTATAGCATTAGTGTCAACGATCCAATACGAACATTGCTCCTACTTTTTCCTTAGAACAGCGAGAAGATAAAATCAACGTCGAAAATGACAACAATTTTGGTGAGATGAAAACTCCTGGTGTTTGAGTTTCAGCGCGTTTGTGACAGAATTAACGATGACTGTGAGAAAGGTCGAAATCGATCAGAGACGCGATCCAATAAGTGACGACAAATGATCTGTGTGAAGATTCGATGGCTCAAAGGAGACAACGAGTTCACGAGTCGCTTCTGTGCGATTTTTGCGTGGAGCTGCAGAAGAAATTGTCGAAAGGCGAGCGCATGGCGGTGCGGCGCGGTGCGTGACTCGACGTACGTCGCTCGCGAATCGATTTCAACTCTCGCGCGGACTAGAGAGAGAGAGCGCCGCGTTAATATTTAAATCACGCGGATGTAATTTAGCCGATGGAGACGCGACTTTAACGCAACAAAATACAGCTCCCAGCGGGGGTGAGACGTAAAAGTCCGCCGCATTATTTACGCTTTCAATTTGCCGCCGCAGCTTCGAGAGACGTTCTCCAGAAGATTGACAAACGACGACCTCGCCGCAGGTACGAGCGGTTTTCTTTTCGCCCACTTCTCCGCGAGTGAGTTAGCCGTAGCGCGACAATGTTTGCCGTAAATTTACCGCAAAGCAGATACAACGGACCATTCTTTTTTTATCTTTCATGTGTAGCCACTCACGAGGAATCGCACGGGAATCGCTTCTTCGCCAAGTCAGCCTGAAATTAACCCTTTATCGCGCATAAAATCTCCCTCCCTCTCTGTCTCTTTGTAAAAAAAAATTGTTCCGGCAAAAAGAAGCGACGCCTACGGAGAAAAATACCGGTGAAATTCCGGCCAGGCGGAGGAATGCACGCCTCTACACGGTGCACCGTAGCAGCGAACTGAAACTTTTCAGTTATTACACGTGTAGCGTGACGTCGCTCTCCGGCCGTTCTGGCGAAGGTGAACTTTATCGCGGTTCGAAGATAGAGCCGTGAAAGCGTGTTGCAATGCGGCGAATCCGTCGTTCACCTTTTCACGAGCGGGCAGGATGACGGCTTCGGCGTCGAGGCGACTGAGTGTGGGGCTCCTCGACGAGCGGGAGTCCTCGAGACGGACGAGCTCGTCCTGTGTGTGTGGGAACTGGGATGCCGGATTTTCCAGAACATTCCGCGTCTCGCGAACGACGCGTGCGTATGTAAAACGCGAGTGTGGCTGTGTATGTGTGAGTGTGTGTTCTTAATGATGACGACGCAAGTCTGCGACCGATGTAATTCGCCGTGTCGCGCGACACAATTGCTACGCGAGAAATTACAAATGGACATTGCTCCCGTGAACTTGGCGGTGGATAACGATTATGTAAGCGAGAGATAAAGAAAAAGTAGAAGGATGAGAATTATCTGTTGCGTTCCTTCTTAAATCTGGAATAGATTAAGTGTGATTAAAAAAGAAAGACCCAAACTGCCACGATATCGCGGCAAGCACGCTTCATGTACGTATCAAATAAAAGCAAAAGACGTGTACATAACATTTATTATATACCATAAGTAGAAATGAGAGCAAATATGAAAGCAAGCAAAGCAAAACGCCTCAGCAGTCTAAAATAGGCAAAGAATTTGTACGACTAGTAGTTACAGCAGTTTATCCATGTGCCAACAAAATCCATGTGTCAAACATTATTTTTTGCAAAAATAAGTATTATTTTTATGCTTCTTCTTAAATTTGAGATATATTAGACGTGGTTAAATGAAGGAAGTGCGAGGCACACGATATCGTGTTGAGTACGCTTCGTGTATCTATCGAAGAAATGAAAACAAAACGGAAAGACATGTAAGTAAAAAGAAAGTACACATATAAGTAGAAAGAAAAACAAAGCAAAGTATAACAAAACAAAGATAAGCAAAGCATAACAAACAAAGAGAAGCAAAGCAAAACGCCTCAGCAGTCTGCAAAAAGCAAATCTAACTGCACACGACTAGTTCCAATTTAGCCATAGGTGCGTCAAAATAGCCAAGCATAAGCGTTATTTTTACGCTTCTTCTTACATTTGAGATATATTAGATATGATTAAATGAAGAAAGTGCGGAGCACACGATATCGCGTGGAGCACGCTTCATGTACAGAGTATTGCATGAACATGCAATGGTCAGTATGACGGGTTGTTTCCTCGTAGACAGATTAACCCGACTTACTCGGATTTGGTGATATGCTCGTTTGCACAATAGATCACACTCATTTTCGTCATTAAAAGAAATATGAAAAAGTATCGCAAATCGTTTCATCCATCATACTGACCTGTGTCAACTGATACAACCTTGTACATACCGAAGAAATGAAGACAAAGCGGAAAGATAACTAGAAATAAGAGAAACAAGCAAAGCGCAAAACGCCTCAACAGTTTGCAGCGGGCAAACTAAATTGTTTATTAATTCCGGCAGTGTGGCTATAGGTGTGCGAAAAAAGCATAAATAAGCGATCGACAGCAGCAAGAGATACGCGATGAAAAAAAGAGACATAATAATAGATCAGGACTCTCTTTTCCTCTCGGAAAGAAAGAGTGAAAAAGAGAGAGACCGTCGCGGCGCCGATGATCGAGCCGGAGCGAGCGCCGATCCGCGTATCACGCGATCCAAGAGAGATCGCAACGCGAATTTAACGGAGAAGACACCTTCGCGGAACAAGAAGTGGTCGTGAGGAATGGTAATGAGATTACAGGTCGACCGTGCCGTATCGTAACTTAGCCAGCCAGCAATGTGTGCTGTACATGAGGCAAGAGGGGAGGGGGGAAAGGAAAGAACGTACTCACAAGGAGCGGCTAGAGAGGAGAGGGGGGGGGGGGGGAAGAAAGAGAGAGAGAGAGTCCGCTGGAAAGGTGAAGATGATATTTGCCGTAATATACATATAGTTAATAGGAGCAACGAGCGGCTGGGCGAATACCGTAGATAATTCGTACGTAACAGATACGCGCGCACAACGGCGCGCGACCGGAAATTGTAACGAAGACGTCAAGCCATTTGCACACACAAGTATCGGGCGGCACATGTGCGCCTATCATGCGCGTTGTCTATTCAGATGCAAATCAATTCGCAACTCGCAGGTCGCATCGATTGCACCAGGGCGTGCGACGGCGCGCTCCCGCTGAATGCTGAATAGCGCGCCGCGCCAAGTAATTAATCCAATGGATCGACAGATTTCGAGCGGACTTCTTTCAAGTGTAAATACGTGGCGCGCGAAGGAGAACCGTTCGCCGAGCCATTGCGAAGAATAGCGGGGATATTTCCAGAGGCTGCGCCGCGTGAGATTCGCATACACCGCGCGCACAGAGGGGTCGAGTGAAATTTTACACGAAAAAATGGATTTGATTGACGAAAGTAAATTTGGTTAAAATGGGACTAATCAAATAATCGGCAATTGCAACCAAAAAATTTAATCGCCGCTATTTTGCCGTATCTTCTCAGAAATATATTTACTTAGTCATTGAGCAAAGCAAAATAGCGGCAATTAATTTTTTTATTGCAATTTTTTATTGCAAACATTTGGTTGATCCCATTCAAACAATTTTTTAAATTTTAGTTTTGACAACCAAATTCTTTTTTCAGTGTACGTTTTAGAAAGATTACAGTCTTGAAATTGTGCCGATTTCGATATTCTTTTCCTTAAATAAAAGCTAATAAATCTTGAAACAACTAGGCTAAACCAAATTTTTGTCTTTTGTTTCTCGTTTTCTAAATCAGGCTGGAAAAAAGATTCTGTTGTCGAAATAAAAATTTAGTACGTTATATCAAAATTTAGTTAGGATGGAATCAATCGAATATTCAATAACTGTGACCGAAAAATTTAATTACCGCTATGTGTATTTGGCTTTCTTAATAATATATGTATTTGACATCAGTAAAAAAACATGTAATGTCAGCCAAATTGTATGTAACAAGTATTTTAGTTCCAAATACAAAAATAACTTTTCCAATGCAGACCTGAAGAAGTTAGATTTAGAAATTTTTTTTTAATCAAGCAATTCCGACAAAAAACGAAAAGCCCAAACCTTGTTATTTCTAGAACAATTAACAAAAAAAAATTGATAACATGATAGTAATAATTTAGCCTCGTTTAATTCAGTAATTTTTATTTATTAAGATTAGGTTAATAATTTAGTAAAATTATTATTTCAATTAATTTCGCTTGTTAAAGTAAGATTTCGTGAGACTATGTTCAGATGTATTTTCAAGTCTGTAACCATATTTCAATATTAACATATGTGCCTGATGTTAAATTAAATGAAATATGAAATAAATTATATATTGTTTGATTGAAAATAATATTTCTAAAACTTCTTTGTCTGATTTAGAAAACAGAAAGCAAAAGACGAAAATCTCGACAAGATGTTCTAAAGTCGAAAAAAAGCATCGAGATCGGTTCGAATTTCGAAGCCATAGCTTTTTTGAAACGCGAAATCTCATTTGACTTCACTGTACGCCGTTGGTGTCTTTTGAATTCGCGAGTCTCTCTCTCTAATTAAATCGTTAAAATGGCAGATTTTCCCAACACGAACTTCCACTCACGTTCGCCCATGTTTGAGTGTTTAATTTGGAACGAGGATCTTCTCTCAGCTTTGTGAATAATCGAAGAGACCCGACGTACTTTGGAACGTTATAATTTAGTTGAATCGTGTGGAGATATGTGCCATCTCTATTCATTTTGCTAACGAAAATTAGCGCCTCGGAAGCTTGCGCAGGAATGCGGCAAAATAATACGAATTATCGCAGGCGGTGATTATAGCGTTGTGCAATTATGAAATATCCGTTCGCGCGCCGGAAATTAAGAAGGCTAAGCAAGCTTATCGAATTTTGTCGGTACACTCGGATAATATATCGCGCGTGTGAACGTTCACGCGAAGTATACTCGAAGGACTTCCCGTTATCGTCACACGTTTTATTGGCACACGTAGATTTCATGCAATTTAAAGCGCATGTTTTCTTCATTCGACGTGGGCCGCTTTAATATCGTGTGATTAAAATACTCTACTCACATTTTATTAAATTAAACTAAATTCCGTAAACTTATAGCTGCAAAAATAATTATCTACTCCCTGTTATCTTAAATAAAACCAAATAAAGTTTTATATCTGGCAAAAAAATATCTGAAAAATAAAATACACTTATTCGACGTGTAATAATAACATATTTACTTAAATTCTTTTATTTAAGCAGGATAAACAGTTGCTTTTATTAAAAAAAACAACTTCTAATGTGCGTGTTTTCAAAAAATATATCTTCAAAAAATATATAAATAAAAGAAATTTTTTCTTTCCATGTAAAAATATGTATAGTGGTATAAGTAAAATATGTTATTAATATCTATTGAATATTGTTTTTATTTTTTAGATCTTTTTTATCTTATAGTGTAACAATTCCAGGACACTCATTCCTGGTAATTCTTATTATTTTTATCTTTAAAAATATACGAATATATAAATTTTCAACTTAATATATATATATATATATATATATATATATATATATATATATATATATATATAT